GAAACAACGCAAGATTTTTTTTATCGCTGTTTCCATGGCATGTGTTCTGACGATTTACATAAATTAGTCCAATCGTCCCTGACATCTACAAATGGAACCCATGACATGTGTCAATCATTCCCTTCTCTTTCGTATTCCATTAGTAAGAAGTAAGTTCTACTTTGACAGCTTCTTCCCAATAACTGCTGATTTGTGAAACATACTCTTGGCGGGATGTTTTCCGAATTACTAAAATTTTGACCTCTTCAAGTCTAGAGTTTACTATTATCTTTTTCTTTCGTATTCCTATAGTATGAAGTAAGTTTTATTCAGACAGCATCTTCCCAAAAACTGCTACCTTGTGAAACATACTCTCGGTAGGATGTTTTCCCAATCACTATAATCTTGACCTTTTCAGGTCTAGGGTTAACTATTATCTTTTTCTTTCGTATTCCTATAGTAAGAAATAAGTTCCATTTGGACAGCTTCTTCTCAATAACTGCTGCTTTGTGAAACATACTCTTGGCAGGATGTTCCGAATCCCTAAAATTTTGACCTTTTCAAGTCTAAACTTAACCGTTATCTTTTTCTTTCGTATTCTTATAGTATGAAGTAAGTTTCATTCAGACAGCATCTTCCCAAGAACTGCTGCTTTATGGAAAAGACTCTCGGCAGCATGTTTTTCCAATCACTACAGTCTTCACCTCTTCAAGTCTGAGGTTAACCGTTATCTTTCCAGCATAACTCCATTCACTTCTCTTCTTTCCTTTGCTTACGCTCATACATTAACCATCTACCTTGAGTGGCTTGTTTTGGGGAAATATTAGTTTAAAAAAACCTTTCTCGTTTCTCATACACTTCGTTTTACGTTATTCTTAACATTTGTCTATAGAAGGATTGTTGCTCCAATCTCTTCTGCATTTGTGAAGAGATTGTCCAGCATTCACTGCCATATAAGAGATTTGATATTGCATAGAGTTTTACCCCTCTTTCTTTGTTTAGAACGAAATTTCCTATCTCTTGATATTTTGCTTAGTTTTTACCAGGCATCTTTCATTATTCACTATTCATCTTCGGATTTCCGTCTCACATTGTCTGACGTCTCTTTCAAGCTTATTCACTAGAGTATCAATCTCTGAATTCTTCGTAATGCAGTCATTGCTCACTTAACGACACGGTCGTCAAACGAGGTTGCCGCTAATTGTGAAGTGGTATCTGGCTGCTATTTCAGGTACTCTGCACGTGTGTGTGTGCGTGTGCGTGTGCGCGTGTGTGTTTGTGGTCTGTGTCAACCTGCTTCAGACAGCTGCAATAGCACTTTTACACCATTTGTATCATTTGTAATTTATTTCTAAACTTGTAGTGCCTTTCCTTTTTTGAATTTTGTTTTCTTTTTCTTTCTTTCTTTCTTTATATATATATATATATATATATATATATATATATATATATATATATATATAGATAGATAGATATTCTGTTTATACATTATTTTAATAGATACAATTTAAGTAAATGCCCTGTTTTTTTTTAAACAAACAGTATTAATTACATTTACCGGTTTGAATGTTCGAGAAATTTCGTAGAAAATATGTGCTTCTCCGACAGGAATCGTACCATCATTTGATCTTATATGCTGTTAACCATTCAGTCTCAAAGAAGCGTCTGGCTAGCAAAGTCCGAATTACTAGACATTTCTTTGAGGTTGAATGGTTAACATCAGATCAAATGACGGTTCCTATTGGGGTTACAGGTTCGATTCCTATCGGAGAAACAGATATTGTCTACGAAATTTCTCGAACATTCAGGCCGGTAAATGTAATTAATACTGTTTAATTAAAAAAAATGAACAAAAAACAGAGCATTTACTTAAATAAATATCTATTAAAATGACGTAGAAACAGAAATTATATTAAATAATTGTCGGACTTAATCCATTTCATAATATATATAAATAAATATATATACGTATTCTGTTGAGAAATTATAGAATGTTAGTAAAGTTGTTTGTATTTCTTTTTAGGTTAAGGCCATCTAACAATAAAGGTGTGGCACATGGCTGACACACTCATTTCGTAACATCTGTTTAAATATTGTACAGTTTCGTTCGCTGCTGGCTAAATTCACACAGAAAAAATAAGAAATCGTGAGTAGATGTTTTCTATGCTTCTACCTGTTCGTATTCTCCCTTGATGACACACGGACAACAATCCCTGTATCCGGTATACGGAGCATTCAATTGACAGCACTTCCGGTAGCAACCAGTTCACAAATTCCTATTGTTTGTTTAGAAAAGATTTTCTACCGTGGATATTTGAGATGTAAAAAGCAAAAGTATTCAAACTAAATCTTTTTAACAACAGTTCTCAAAATTCTTATGCCATTGCTTACCCAACCCAAAGCTCAAGAACCACTCAAAATAGAATGGGTTTGTTGAGTTATTTTATGAACGTACGACTTTTAAATTATGAGGATATGAAGGATAGATAACGGTTGAACCCGGACTTGAAGAAATTAGGGTCGTAGAAATCGGAGATGAATCTTCTCAGGAGTCGGTTCTACAAAGCAGTGACTCTTTGGAAGAAGTTGACGAATCGAACTTCTTACTTACTAATGGAATACTAAAGGAATAAGGATGTTTCGCACTTGAGTATGTGGCATAACGGCTCTTAGCTGTAAAGGTTTAAACTGGTGTAACTATGGAAGGTTGTTCCTCAGAACATTTGCCATGGAAATAGCGGTAGAGTAGCAACAATACGTGGGAAAGAGTTGAAAAATAATTCATCGCGTACAAGGCCACGTAAACGTTTTTGAAATCTGTCAAGGTTGAAAAGAGAAGATTGGGAAACTCTAAACCAGATATGGTAGAAATACTCCATTTTTGGTCTGACTGGTCTTATCTGGCTTTTGTAAAAATAAATCATAGAAGGTGGAGCCAGGTACTCTTTGGAGCGGTAGAAGAGAACGACCATTTTTTTTCAATTTTGTTTTTAGCTATGGATCGTATACATAAATTCTATTTGAGGTCTGAGGTGAATATGAGTTCGACTAGACGTTCAAAGCAATGTACCCATTTGAGAGGGTAACCAATAATCGTGACTGGTAAGAATTCAGGGACACTTGGGCGAATGATAAGCAACTAGCTTGGTTTTGGAGGTAATGAAAGATACAAACCCGTTTTACCCCTATTGGGATATTAGAACCAGGTTAGACGAGAGGCCAGCTGCCAGGCTTTGGTCATCTATTGGAGGAGGAGGTATCATCTACATAGATATTTACTAAAAAACCTTAGAATGTTCAGGATAATTTAATTGAATTGAGATAAATTTAAATTGATTTATATGTGGCTTCATTCGTTTTTTACGGCTTATCAACCATTCACAAGTTATTTAAAACTAGGAAATAACTTTATATTGTAAGAATATTTTCTGAGATAATAATAATTTAGTGATACAAGTTTTATTAATTAAACCATATCTGGGGGAGAATAGGTGGATTCACACATTTCCCAGGGGTATTTGAGAGTAAGTGAATATAACGAACCCAACTGGAATTGGAACTCGGCTCTCTGATTAACAATTGCGAGCAATTATTCATTACACCATCCACACTGCTGGTATTCCCAAGCGGTCACCCATCTATAAACTTAACAGCCTCTACGTTGCTTAACATCAGTGATCGGAACTGGTTTTTCACCGTGATATGGCCGCAAGACAAATAGAATTATGATAAAGTTATAACAATTTCAGATTTATTTATTGCCCTCATCTTTGTTTTTGCTATTACAAGGTTTCGGCCGTTCTGATGATCAGGATGACGATAATAATCCAGATGTAAATACTGCAAATATAATGCTAACTCCTCAGCCCAGAAATTCAAACAAATTCAGGATTCTTCAAATATTGATCGTACCCGAAATACAGTCAGCCCCCGCCTATTAGCGTTTCAGCATTCGCGGCTTCACGTATTCGCGGATTTTTCTTTAGAACATATGTACTCGTTATTCGCGGAAACCCCGAATATTTTAGTGTTTTCCTGAAGAACATATGTACAAATTATTCGCCGAGAACTCTCTCGATTCGCGTATTTTTTCGATAGAACATATTTAAAATATTCTTGTATTATTTTCGTTATTAAGTGACTTAAACATATAACAATCCATTTTTATGGTAAAAATTGGCAGAATTGTACATCTTCATCGTAAAAAAACAAACAAACGCAAAAACATGTGCAGTGCTTGGACTTTGTTCTTTGTTAGCGGCTGCGACTGGGCTCTTAAAAGTGGTTTATACTAAATCTGGGAGGATCATCACAGTTCTCTTTTTAGAAAATGTTTTAAACTTTATATTTTATGTCTTGTTAACATTATTTTATACAGTATTTTCAACGGTTGTATTGATCAATGCATAATTAAAAATGGTTATTGTACGTATGAAAGAAAATTTACGCTAAGTATATAGTCACCAATACTATTTTTCAAAAATGTTTTTAAAATGGTCTGAAATGTTTTTAAAATATTTAAAATGAAAGTTCAAGGCATATGGGGTTTTAACAATAAAAAAATAAGTACTTAGAAGTATTTGTGGATTCTAAGTATACGCGATTCTGGTCCCTAATCCTCGCGAATACGGGGGACTCACTGTATTGTTATAAAGTAATAACAGTATTTTTGGAAGTAAATCCGTAAATAATCTATTTGCTGTGAATAAAGATTATGATTCTTAACTTTTGAAATGTAAATATATTTTTTGGATAAAGCGAAGGTAAGAATTCCATACATTCTCACGATCAAAGAGCCTGAAACCGGAAATAAAGTACCATTCGACGAAACATGGCATACATCAGAATCCATTCTTTCATGAACATCGCTTTAACCGCTTCAGCCATGGAGACCTCACCACTTAACTAATGCCTTAGTCTGTATAAAGTCTACCACTTTTTCCTTTTTGATTCCCGGCATTATCTTTGTTTTTTTCTATAACAGAGGGGGGTATTTTTCAAATCAGAAGGTAGCGTATTTGATGGCATTTATGGTGCTAGGCGGTCCTGGGTAAGACGATAAACAACATCCAACTGCAAGTCTTCAGTTCAGGAGGTTATGTGGAGCGTGGAACCATCTCTTAATTGCTGGTCTGCCCTGACCTGGGGTGGTAGCATCTGTCAGGGTCCCAGCTATGGCCAAATAGTTAACCCCCCCATTAAACGGGGTCAAAACACTATGAAAGAATAAAAATAGGTTTTAATACCAGCAATACTTTTATGGAAATTTTTTTTTTACCAGCAATACATTTTTGAAAAAAAAATGAATATTACCAGCAATAAAAATCTTGTCGACATTAAACAACCCACTGAGGTTGATATGCCGTAAAACAAGCCAAACCAAATAAACCAAACTATGGTGGTAGGTTAGGTGCACAACTTTTCACTATGATTATGAAGACCTACTTTGATAGGCCCAAGGTGTTTTGTTCAATTATGTGGTAGTGAGACTAATATTAGCAAATTTATGCCTGTTTGGACATCCATCCAATAGAATGGGGAAACGTTATCTATGTAATTACTTCTTAAATATTCAAGTGATAGATATAAAGTTAGTATGTGCGTTTCATGGGTGCCTGGAGAAGAAAAAACGGTTTCAATCCCTCGTTTTTAAAAAAAGAAAAAAAAAACATAAAAAATAACAACAACAACAAAACAACAAAAATAGTTCTCTTTTGCAATCACCTAATATATTTGTCAGCTGCCTGAAACTTTAATCATCACAGAAACAGAAGCACAACGCCGGGATTTCTAGATAAAAGCTAAGAGTAAAATTACGTCTGCAACGGTAACATTAAGTCTGAAGGTGATGGCCGCTGTTAGAATGAACATTCTACAGACATACAAACAAAAACAAATAAAAAAAATTGCCCCATAACTTAATGAATCATAAAACGAAATTTATGTTCTAGATTCGTTTGATTTATTTTAAATTTATCGATTTTTAAAGGACGGCATCTCGGGAGAGAAAGAAAAGAAATAGGTCAGGCGATATTTCGTATCGATCATTTGCTTGTCGGGTATTTTTATCACGTTCCGGACCTATGACGTGATGTTCCAATGATATAGGTAGACATTATAACCACGTGACGACTTATTCAGATGGAAATTAGCCATAGAATTTTTACAATTACTTTCATGATAACTGCTCCGAGGAGCTGCTTTCGCTGGTTCCTAAACTTCATGAATTTAAGCGTTCTACTAGGCTAGCATCCCGCCCTCACCCTTTCACTGTCGAAACTGTTAAATGTAACCGTCTCTTCTACTCCAATAGCTTCATGTATCGCACCTCTCGCATGTGGAACTCTCTCCCCTTTTCCTGTTTCCCTGATAGCTATAATCTCCAACTATTCAAATGTAATGTCAATCGACGTCTCCAGATGCCTTGATCCATCCCTTATCCTTCTCTTCATCCTTTCCTCTATCATTCCTATTTGCTCTAGTTTCAGTTCTCTGTAACCCCTTGCGTGCTAGTGGCTACCCACCTTGCTTGTGGTGAAACGATTAAAAAAAGTTTTAAATTGGGTGAATAAAGGTGGTACTGGTAATATTACGGTTCGTCATTAACAGATCAGAAGTTCATCATTAGACAACGAACCTCATTACTTTTGCATAAGAAACCATTTCTAAGTTTGACATGAATTCTTACGGGATTACCTATCTTATTCTTCTAACTTCTGTACTGTTGAAAAAGAGTCATTATCGTTCCAAGAGTTGTTTAGACAAGTGATATCATTCGTTACTTATTTAAGGTGTGAACATGTGAGCAACGACGAAGTTCTCAAGACAATGGCAACAAAGAGGACACATATACTTAACATCAGGAGGAGGAAGTTGAGGTTTCTGGTACACATAATGAGGAAGGAGGACTTGGGAAATTTGATACTCACAGGACAGATTGAAGGTAACAACCTACCTGGTGAAAGTGAAAAGTTGACGGAGCAGGATATGGCAGAGATGGCAAAAAAAGTTATTAAGGACTACAAGGGACAGGAAATTATGGAGAGCCATGATTGCCAACGTCCTGAAGAGACACAGCACATAAAAGAAGAAGAAAGTTGGGAAAACTCAAAATTTAAATATCCGATCATGCGTGTTTATTCCAGATGTAACAAACAGTATTGTGAGAGCATAGAAACGAGGAGGAAAAAAAAAATTCGAAGCTAATTTTAGAAACAGAAAATAACATACTCCTGAATAAGGTTAAAGTGTTTTAGCCAAAACATTTTGTTTAGTCATACAGAAAAAATTTCTGAGCATGTATTTTTAAAGAATCGCGTCATCACGTGTTCTGGTGTCGATTTCATTTATTTATTTTTATTCAATTTATGAAATACATTTGGCATATTTGTTACTCATTTTGACGAAATTTTATTGATGTTGTGTTATTTGTAATTTTATGCTTAATGCTAATTGTAACTGTCTGTTTTATGTCTCAGTGCGATAATCAGGCTTCATCATACAGTTTACATCTATCTATCTATCTATCTATCTATCTATAGAGTTAATTGTAAATATCAATTCCACGAAACTTCGAAGTCGGGGAAACAACATCAAAAATTGATATTTACTGTTGAATAGCTTTATCGTATTATGAATCTTTAATATTAATATTATTTTAATATTTTAATATTTAGCAGCATATATATATATATATATATATATATATATATATATATATATATATATATATATATAATATCAATTGATGATTGGTAGGGATAATTCCAAGGAGGATATAAATCTAAAGAGAGCTCAATGTAAGAACAGAACAATATAATGATGAATACTGAATCATTAAAAATCCATCAGGTCAGTTAATAATTTATTTAGCGTGTCTGAATTGATTGAATTCCATTTATTGATGTAAAATTGGTCTGACGAGATGGACATGAAGTCCACAAAATAAATTTATTATATATATATATATATATATATATATGTTGGGAGGATTTGAAATAATAGTTATTAAGTAATTCATCGAGCTTAGAAAAATCCTGAATGCACTGGACGGAGTATATTTGGTATTCATTAGCATTGCGCAACCACTACTGAGGATCGAACCATATATATATATATATATATATATATATATATATATATATATATATATATATATATATATGTCAGATCCGTAAGTGGAAAAAGGGTAATCAAGTGGTTCTTTTTAATATAAAATATTAAAAAGATAGATCCGTAGAGAGCTAAGTGTATAGAATACAAAGCAATATGATATACATCAGGGAAAACCGTAACACATCACAAAAATACGGTAATAAATCATGATATATTTCGACCAGACTGAAGATCTCATCAGACCGAACCATTTATAAATGGTATCGGTTTGATGAGACTTCTTTGGTCGAAAATATATCATGATATATATATATATATATATATATATATATATATATATATATATGTTCATTGATGCTTGTTTCATTAAATAATATAGACAAGTTTTGTCTATTTATTTTAAGTAAGTTCCTTTCATAGTCTGATAAGCTCAATAACATTATCATTGAAGGACGAAAGGAAATCACCATATTGATACATGTTTAAATCCAATCTAAGCTTTCGGCTTACATAAGCCATTTTCAAAGATGACAATTACTTTTCGATATGTATCAATATGTGCCAAGTGAATAACCTTCAACTAAACTCAATGGACTTTAAGATGTAAACTTCTCCAATGACTAGTAATGATAAATATACCAGGTGTATATCAGAGTATATCTGTGAGATATATCTAAAAAACAAACCACTAACGTTCCGTCATCATCAAACACCTTGGATTTCTGTCCATCGCAATGGACGTGCGTCCTCTCACGGAGACCCCTTGTTATCAACGCCTGTTTGGAACTAAAATCACCCCAGACCTCAAGTGGAGTCGTATATATGAAGCATCGCTAAAGACGCTGGAACAATAGTCGGTTCCCTGTACCGCTCTCCCCTACCTTTATAAGAGCCAGGTTAGGCCTAAAACAGTATAGCTGCCATATCAGTAAAGAAATTTTCTACATCGAGTGAAGGTAGGGCCCTACATGTAGGAGGTGTTGCTTGTAAGATCTGTAGGAATTCGTTTGTAGATGCGAAGCTGTGATTATTACACTCAAAAACGAATTTCTAATTCCATTTATTTTCTTCGCATCCACAAACGAATTCCTCCGTCTCTGCTCTCTTTAAAATTTGGTGAGTGTTTGTATTTTGAAGCCGTCTAGAACCTATAGTCTAAGGATGTAGGAATATTTATTTGACTTCTGTTATCGAAGTCAAAATATGCACTTGGCTGTCTTCGTGGCATGACACCTGTTTTCACTGGACTCTTTCATAAGACTGAACAATATCACAAAATAGAGTGGCCTATGATAAGTTTTTAGCCACCCTTAATTACAGCAATTTCGGCTTGTTTAATAATGTCTCTTCTTTTTTTCAGACAATACCGTGTTGATATAAAGCTACTCTCATCTATGAACAATAGATGACTTATATTTTGCAATGAAAGTTCGTGGAATTAAGTAAATTAGTGAATTTCAACAAGGGCAAATAATAGGATGGCATCAGTGTGGCAAGTCAAATAGAGAAATTGCTAGGTTTTTCCAGATTAATCATTAAACGGTTAATAATATTGTCAAGAAATTTAATGAAGAAGGCTATTGTCATGTGGAACAACGTTCAGGAAAAGTCATCAGAAATCGTCGTCAGAGCGCCAAAGATGTCGCCAGCAGCATAGAAATGTCGCCATATGTGGTAAAAAAGACTCTGAAAGAGCTAGGCTATCAAAGAAGTGTTGCAAGAAAGAAGCCCTTGATTTCAGAGGTTAACAGGAACAGGAGTATGAACTGTGCGAGAGAATAAGAGGGCAAATATTATGAATTTTGGCAGTCTGTAATTTGGTCAGATGAAAGTAAATTCTACCAATATTCGAATTCGAGATTGGTGCATGGTTGGAGAAATCAGAATGAGACTTGGAACACTGAATGTCTGTAGGTGATCATGAAACATGAAGAGATTGAAGTAATGGTATGGGGTGCTGTCTGGTTTGGAGGGAAATCTGCTGATTCTTGTGGACGAGCGGTTGAATGGTCCAAAATACTGTCAAATATTAGAGAAAAGACTACTCCCACTATTTGAAACCTATCAGATTGATAAGAATGTCTACCTTTTTCAAGAAGATGGAATGACATGTCATACGAACAAAGTAGCAAGGGCCTGGAAGGAATTGCAAGGAATCAAGTCACTGCCATGTGTAGACCAAAGTCCTGACATGAATCCAATAAAGCACGTTTGGGAGCGCCTTGATCGAAGACTTCGAGAGCGTGAAACCAAAATCACGCCAGTGGCAACCCTTAAAGAAACACTGCTAAAGACGATTGTTAATAACTTGATTAAATCCTTCAAAAATCGAATACAAGCAATGAAACTAGCAAATAGAGGACCTACTCTATATTAGTTCCAAATACTGTTTATTTATGTTGAATAGGGATTACGTAATTAAATTTTGAAATTGGATGTATTTTATTACTCCTGGCTAAAAACTTTTCTTAGGTCATTGTATGTTAGATACGGGTGCTGCACTGCAACGGGTGGTACTACATCACAAGATGGACAAAAACTTTTGAATATTATCTAACCTCGTAACATGTACTCAATGAGATTTTTAGCGCGCCCACGTCGCAAAGGAACGTGACACAAGGTAGAGCTTTAGAGTGAGTTTATCGACAATACCCTGAAAAAATTGCTTGGAGATGTCTCATGTTCTGTGTAATGATCCCAACGATCTCCCGAAGTAGAGAGGGTACTTTCTGGCGAATGAAACCCTGGGGCTGGAGTAGCATACCCATAGGGAATCCAGATCAAAATCAACATTGTTTTTCAGTGTGTTCGGGCATTGATAACAATCTGAGATCAGTTAAAAGTTGATAGGAAAATGTCACTTTGTAATGTTCGAGCAATGTGATTAATATTCATTGGTGAATTATGTGCACTGACAAAGAAGAAGAATAGATGCTGTGTGAAATAAATGCTTTTTTTCATCAGTAGGCTACAGAGTTATTGATTTACTCAAGTGGCATGAAGAGATATTTCCTGTTGGTTTAATGCAGGCTAAATAATAAAAAAATCGAAGTCGTCTTTCAAAGTCTTTCACTCGCCCATTATCTATCTATCTATCTATCTATCTATCTATCTATCTATGTCAGTCTGTTCATATCTATCTATCTATCTATCTATCTATCTATCTATCTATCTATCTATCTATCTACACTCTATTCTGGAGGCACGGATAGCGGCTTGGATTGAGGATTCGGAGAGCCGAGTTCGAATTCCAGTCGAATCCATTACATTCACTTACGTGCTAATACCCTTGGGAAAGGTGTGAATCCTCTTCTCCCTCCAGCTATGGGTAAATAGCATGGCAGACTGGGTTCTATAGCCTTGGATGGCAACTGGTCTAGGAGAAGGAAAACTCTGAATTCAAAACCTGCGGAGGGTCGTTTGGGGACCCTGTGGCACTTAGTGCACCAGGTCCCTGTATTCGGCCCTTCAAAATGTGTGGATGGTTCTGCACAAAACCTTCACCACTATAATCAAATCTCATGTGCTATACATGCAGGATGGGGGACAATTTGTGAATTCCAAATTCCCATGAAACGCCAATATTGGAGCCGGCTCAACCCACCCCGGGTGAATGCTGTTACACGAACAAGAAGAGAACACTCTATTCATATCTATCTATCTATCTATCTATCTATCTATCTATCTATCTATGTGATAGAATTAGCTACACTCAATTAGCGGATCGAGAGCTATCATCATCGTATGGGGTTTCTGAAGTACATAATGAGAGGAAGGACTGCTTGAAAAATCGAATACTCGCGGGACAGATAGAGAGCAAGAAAACAGAGGGAAACAACACATACTTAGTGAGCTTGAGTAAATAGATGGCAGAACAGGGTTTAGGAGCAAATAATAGCAAGAAAAAGTTTATTAAGAGCTACAAGGAACAGGAAGTAGCCGAGAGCTACGATCTCTTACGTCCTGAGCGGACATGGCGTATAAAGTAGAAGATCGAAGAAGTCACAAGTCATCGTGACGGAGGGTTTGAGCGTGTTCGAATTCCAGTCGATTTCACTTAAGACATGAGTTCATCTATTCTCCCCAAGCTTTGGATAAAATAACAGGACAGGCTATATATATATATATATAATTTTGTGTATATATATATATATATATATATATATAATTTTAGGATGTATAAATATATATATATATGTATATATATATATATATATATATATATGTGTGTGTGTGTGTGTGTGTGTGTGTGTGTGTGTGTGATTCGCAGACAGTACTGTTTCGCTGTATCACAGCTCCTCAGTGCGGCTAGATATTCGAATACTTCAAGCCAGGATTGAATCCCAACCGATTTAGGGCCAGTCGGAGCTTCTACCATTGAGTTATCTTTACTCGGCAGAGTTATAAATCTAGCGTATTGTTTTTACGAATGTAAACAAATGCCAATCAGCCGAATATATATATACTACAGGCAAAAACTTTCTTCATAAACACATTAAAATGGGATTTTTTAAAAGAAAATATAAAATTCCAGTAACTTTAACACATTTGCTTTAATTTTTTAGTTCGTTCCAGGCTTCACTTACTACCAAAATTTAGTCTGTCCGCAATACATTTTCCTAAATTATGAATATTTTGTATGAGAAACATTATATTGTTTTCACCATTGACTTATCAGTAAACATTTTGAGATTAGCAAAAGGAGATTTGATTCAGGTCACGGGGTCATAAAAAAAACAGAACAAAAAGAAACAATATAATTCGATTTTGCAACGACATACGATATCATTTAATTTACATATAATTGGAAAAATCACCTTTCAACAAGACAACAATACAAAATACTCTCGTAAATTATTTCAAAATTACCTCGAGTTAAAAAAGACACAAAATTTTGGAAATCATGAATTAGTCGCCTTAATCTTATTACTTCTCTCCCATGGAATTAGTATGGGATAAATTGGATTAGAGAAGTCCTAAAGAGTGAGAGTGAACTTTTTCAATGCTTGAAGAATGCTTGAGTTTGCTATTTTAAAAAAAAAAATATTGGAAAGAATGCCAATAATCTGAAAAACAGTATTTAAGGAACGTGATCGTTTTATGGATCAACAGAAATATGATGATGATGTGTGATATTTTGTTTTTGTCAAAATAAAAGCATATACACTATAGTTACTGAAATTTTATGTTTTACTTTAAAAAATATAAACATATCTGATTTTAAGGTATTCTTTAAAGAAGTGCCCCAAACCTTATATATATCCGACTGGATACAAAAAATCGGGTTTTAACGAGCTGTTGTCCTTGCGATCCTTTTGTACCTCAGAGTCGTGGACTTCATACAGGAATCAGATACGCCAGTTGGATGTTTTCCATAAAAGCTCTCTGTATGCCGTCCGTGGATTTAGCCTTCAAGGCAGGACATCCAAAGTAGACATGTTTAAAAGTGTAATATTGGAGGAATCGAGACTTTCCTCATACAGTCTTAATTGCGGTAGACTGGTCATGTCTTGAGAATGTCTGATGACAGGATAGCCATGATCCTAATGTACAGCCAGTTAGATCAGGGCTACAGAAATGTAGGGCGCACATGGCTTAGATACAAAGACAAGCTGAAGAGCAACTTGTCAGCTATAAATATACTTCATAACACCCTCGAGTGCTTAGCCTTGGAGGGGTAGAGTGGAGATCAACGTGTTTTAGTGGACTCAGCAATTTTCAACCTGCTAGTCTGAATTGTCTTCAAGAAACGAGAGCAAGATCTAAAAGGTCAGCCAATCTAACAGTGACCTCATCCCACAATACTCCCTATTACTCCATATGCGGCCTCCTTTGAAAATCACGTGCGGGTCTTAAGTGCCACTTAAGATTATTGCACAAATTTATAATTGAATCAATTGGTTGTCAGATCGTCATACGTCCAAACCGGCGGGAGGGTCCATTATATATGTGTGTGTGTTATTTTATATATATATATATATATATATATATATATATATATTTTGTGTGTGTGTGTGTGTGTGTATTACTTCAAACTTTATTTTTGTGGATAACGTATTCTGAGTAGACGTTCCATTTTATTTAAAACAGCATTTATTTCGCATACTGGCATGCATACTTGAGAAAATTTATTAAAGATAATGTATCCTCCAGCAAATACTCAAAGTATCCACTAAAAATAACGTTTGAAGCAATAAAATTATGTCTGATTAAAAAAATTAAATCCATTAATTTTATATATATATATATATATATATATATATATATATATGTATATATATATGTGTGTGTGTGTTTGTGTGTATGTGTGTGTGTGTGTTTCGGAACTTCTATTACCTTCATTAGTCAAAATTAATATTCCAAGTGCAAGATTACATTACAAACTTGTAACGGGCAATAATTGGAAATTCGTAGTAAATCAAAGTAATTAAAAATTGTTAGAGAAGATGAAAATGTTATTACTTTTGTTATAATAATACAAAATTAGTCTTATATTTCAAAACAGTCTTAAATGATTCAATTTATTTAACTAAGGCTTCTTTTTAGAAACAGATAAATCATTTTTAATAGTCATCTTTAATAATTCGTATGGTGTATCCAACCTATTGATGAGAGAGAAAATCAATTAAGATTACATTTTTGTTATTTGATAAATGTTTGTAAATTGTGAACCTTTTATCCACAACCAGATGTTCCAGGTCACGTTCGTGGAAGTGACGTGACGTGAGACCAAATTAACTAATATTATGTCTCATTAATATAACTAACTTTCTACTGAGCGCATTCATATTTCTATACGGCGCGTGTCGTATAATTAATTGGTATTTTATCTTCATTTGTAAACAAAACAAACTAATTATCTGACTCGTTCAGACAACGCTTAACACGTTACCGTCTCCACAAAATGTTTTGACCCAGTAGTTTTAAATTGAACAGTTTTTGCATAGTTCTCTGCGTTTTTTTAATCATTTCACGCCAACCAAAGCATGAATGGTACTAGTGTACAGGTGGATATAGAGAGTGAAAGTGAGCGAAAAGGCTGAGTATAGGGAGGATTGAGGAAAGGGCAAATGATGAACATCCGGTCTGTCCTGCTATTTACCCATAGCTGAGGGGTGGAAAAGAAGAGGATTCATACCTTTCCCAAGGGTATTAGCAAATAGGTGAATGTAATAGATTCGGCTGGAATTCGAAGTTTAAATGCAACGTCAATCGCCATCTTCTATCTTCTTGAACCCTGTTCGTCTTTTGCCCTTTTCTCAATCCTCCCTATACTCAGTCTTTTCCCTCACTTTCACTCTCTTTATATTCTTTGGATTTTGTCAAGAATCTCGAGGTGTACAGAAGACACATCAAACCAGATATGGCAACAGTATTCAATCTGAGTGTTAAATTTATTGTTTTAATCAATGTAAGCATCACTGTAAGAAGACAGAAATGGTCTCAGATGCGAAATACAAATTAGAGACCCTGACATTCATCAAGAATGACGATTAAAATATCTAGAAAGTATTTTAACAGAGAACAGAAAATGCGACGTCGAATTACATTAGTGGGATCCCCCCGCTCTGACCATTGTCTTCAATTTAAAAAGATCTCCCCTATACAATGCCATGCCATCACCGAACCAGCTACATATATATATATATATATCTATAAATTTTGATTAGATTAAGCATTGTCAACCATTAATAATGTTTTATTGCTATTTCTTTCATTTTGATCTGCCAACTGTAAAGCTCTGTTGAGCGTATCTTGATCATGAGCCAGTCGGATCAATACAAATACAGATTATTTATAGATATTTCTGTTATGGTGCAGTTGCTTGTGTTATTTCTTTCTTTTTATGTGCCTTGTCCCTTCAGGGTGTACGCGATCATGGCTCTCCACTTCCTCCTGTCATTTGTAGCTCTCAATAAGTTTTGTCCCTTTGCTACTTCCCTCAGCCTCTTTTCTGTTATCCACTTGCTTAAGCCCGCTAGGTATGTCATGCGTTGCTTTCCCTTGTCTCTTTTTTCCTCTATTCCATCTGTGAGTATCAGATTTTCCAAGCCCTCCTTTCTCATTACGTGCCTCTTTCTGGTGTTAAGTATAAGCTTGCTCCTTGTTTCCATCCTCTCTAAGACCTCATCGTTGCTCACACGCTCGGTCCATGATATTCTTAGCATCCTTCTGTAGAACCACATTTTCCATCGCCTCGAGATTCTTTTTCATCTTTGAGGAGACCGTCTAACATTCACTGCCATAAAGAAGGACAGATGTCACGTAACAGTTCTGTATTTTTTCTTTGTTACCAACGAAATCCTCCTGTCTCGTAATACTTCTGCTTAGCTTTTGGAATGCGTCTTTGGCCATCCCAATGCGTCTACTGATTTCAGCGTCGCACCTACCCTCTGTCAAAACACTTCTCAGATATTTAAATTTCCGCACCTGCATTTTTTTAGGGCCCCCGACCTGCAAATTGCATTTAGGGCACACCCTTTTATTGATGACAATGCATTCTGTCTTCTTGCAGTTTATGCTTAGTCCTTTCTTCTTGCTCTCCTTTGCTACCTTCTGTAGGAGGTTTTGCAATTTCTTTTCCGTGTCTGCTATCAGCACTGTGTCATCTGCGTATCTTATATTGTTAAGATTGTGGCCGCCAATGCCGAATCCCTCTAGGACTTCCAATTCTCTCAGAATTGCCTCGCTTTATAGGTTGAACAGGTCCGGTACAATTACAAAGGTACGTTGGAATAAGTG